AAACCCGAACCGTCATGCTCACGCCCCGCCGACGACAGGTAAGTGCTGTTGCAATTCAGTTTTCAGTTATTATAAACATATTACTTTGTCTATGCTCAGAATTGAGGATCGGGATTTTAGTTAAGATGCTCGGATCAGATTCAGATCTTAGAGGTTGGACATGACTCTAGTATTCAGGCATTCAGATATGACTCTAGACGTTAGGATCTTCCGAGATGACTCTAGAGTTCTTCAGGTTACACGTCAGTAATTATCGGCCAATTTTGGCAACTCGTCAAGAGATCTGTGTGCCTAATAATCAGTCAGTAAGGCTATCATGTAATATTAAGTAATGTTAATCTTTTCTCAATGAATCAGATGCCGCCCCGTAGGGAACCCGATCATTCAGTTTTTATTCAAGCCACAGTAGCCGCACAGTTCTGCGACTATCATGTTGAGAAATTCTTCGGCCGAGGAAATCCCCGTATCAGGGGCAAGTGAATTCATAACCGTAGAAAAGGATTGAGTTTAAGAACTCTAGATTCAATTCTAGATTCACTCAAGTCAAGTTAGCAATTTGTCAGAAGATTTGTAAGCATTGTGCTAAACAAATCATAAGAATCATGTTTTCAGAAATTTTTATCGAGAACTGCCATTTTGTCAATCAATTGGCAGACTTCAGGGAGAAATTCCTTGATTTAATTCGAGGAATAGACTCAAAGTTCCTAAGTCAGATCAATAAGTCATGTTCAAGGCAAGAATTTTCATGTTAAAGGTTGTTATAATGCTCAAGTCATTGTTAAGGTAACGGTTTCCAGTGTATAAGAGTCAATAGTCCGGGTTACCATGGAGGCTTGAAATAAGAGCCACTCAGCCGGGTATACCATGGAGGCTTGAAGCTGGGGACCGAATCAGTAAGATTCCATGTAATAACAACCTTTCAAGTCAGTCATGTCAGATATTGATCAGTCATGCTATTTTAAGTTATGACCTTCCGAAATCAAGATCAGCTAATTACTTGGTACTTGCGGGACCAGTTGATACTGGAGCAGCCCTATACAGTACAGGGTTCACGTTCACGATTTACAGTTATGTTCATGATATAAGGTCGACGTATAATAGTTGTTCAGCCGGGTAAAAGGTAGCGGTCTGATATACAGACCAATAGTCCAGATTTACCTGGAGACTTGAAGTCGCACCTTATCAAGTTAAGTAAGTCAGTAGATATCACGTTTTCAATCTCGAAGCGACTATTTAAGTTCTCTCGGGATAGTTTTCGGAGTTCGAATAAAGATGAGTCAGTCATGTGAGAGTCAAGTCATGGTTATTCAATCATGAGAGTATTCAGGCCAGTCCTGTTAAGATCGAGGATAGTTTGTCTAATAAGACAAGACTTATCTACCATTTTCAGTATGTCAGCGCCTCGATTCTCAAATTCTTAAGAATCTGAGAAATCGTGGGAAATATTAAGTCATGAGGGACTTCTTCTAGAGGTTAAGTGTAACCTCGGAGGGAGTAAAAAGTTGCAGGTACCACAGGTTTACATTCGCCGCGATGGAGAAGAGCCAATCGACAAAAACGGATCGTGCCATGATGATAAACCGACGCTTTCCATTGAAGGATGCCATGTCTGAGTCAGTACACGGGGAGATTGCGGAAAGAGTCTTCACCACCAGCATTCCGATCGGAGATCCGCTAGCAGCCAGAAGAGGATGACCAACACATTTCAGAGTTTCGTTTTGAGATCATGTCTCATCAGTAGAACACTTTTAGAAAAGTGTCCATTTTCAGTCAGCAGTATTCTACAATTCACTTAATTGTGAATTAATGTATCTTCATTTCAGATCATGTCTTTACTGGATTCTCAAGTCATGCAATCAGTAAGTATAAGCTTTAAGTTAAGCTTGTACATTCCAGTTTTACTGTTTCCGAGGAGCTCAAGAAGAGGTTAAATTCAGCACCGGTGTTGACTATCCCCGATCCTTCTCGGAGTTTCACTATCTATAGCGATGCTTCGAGGCAAGGCTTGGGATGTGTCCTTATGCAGGACGGACGAGTCGTTGCGTATGCTTCACGTCAGCTTAAGCCCCATGAGCAGAACTATCCTACGCACGACTTAGAATTAGCCGCAGTCGTTCACGCCCTGAAGATCTGGCGTCATTATCTTTACGGCGGACGCTGCGAGATATTCACCGACTATAAGAGCCTACAGTACATTTTCACACAGAAGGAGCTTAATATGAGGCAGCAGAGT